GTGCTTGTGAAGTGGCAGTCTTCTGCTTGTGTCCGTTCGTTTATGTATGTGTTCTTCTCCACCGACCATTGCTGTCCCTTGTTCTCAATGTGTTCGACTGGGTTCGCCGTTAAACTGCTGCGTGGTGGCGAGGTTAGTAAGGGAGGTGGTTGTCCATCCGTACTGATTGCGGTTTCGGTCCGTTCTCAGGCCATGCGTGACTCCTTTTTGTTGCGTCATTTGATCCTTGAGTTGCATTGGCGTGTACACGTGATTCAGTTCAATGTGACCGTTGATTCAGTTGATTGAAGAGAGCCAAGCTTCGAGAAATTCTCTGGCGTGTTTTGGCCGGGCTTAGTCGATAATTTTCCCTGGAGCGAAGTTAAACTGATGTCCTTCTTGATCTTCGTGGAGTGAAATGAAAGATAGTGAGTCATGTCTCCTGACTGCCGCTTGGTGTTTATGGATCCTTGTGGACAGGTTTCTACCAGTTTGTCCGATATAGTGATTCGGGCATTTCTTGCAATTTATTTTGTAGATAACACTGCTCTTGTCCTTCTCCATTGTTTTCTCCTTTGGTCTTGACAGACGTCTCCTTAGGCAGGAGGTAGTTCTGTGTGCGACTTGGAGTCCATATGATCTGAGCCGTCTTGTCGTCATTTCCGAAACGTCACCGATGTACGGCAGGGTAGTTCCTGTTCCCGATTCTCCGTCTGTTGTTTCTTTCTCTGGGTTAGAGTTCTTTTAATGAAGTTGCGGGTGTAGCCGTTGCGAGCAAATACTCTGAGGAGATATCTTTCTTCGGTTTTCTTGAGTATGTCGGTGCTGTAGTGTGTTTGGATTTTTCCGAACAAGGTTCTAACACAGCATCTTTTTTGGCTGTGTGAATGATTACTATTGAAGTTTAGAATTTGATCCGTATGCGTTGCTTTGCGGTAGACCGTTATCTCCAGGTTTCCTGATGACGTTCTGATGATCAAAATGTCCAAAAAGGCCAGCTGTTTATCCTTCTCCGTCTACATTGTGAACTTGATGCCATTGAATGTGTTATTGATGATGTTGTGTGTTCTTTCCAGCTCCGAATTCTTCAAGATGACGAATGTGTCATCAACGTATCGGAACCAAAGTTTTTGCATGATCTTTGGTGGTATCTCCTTCTCCAGCTTTTGCATTACGGCTTCGGCTATGAATCCAGAAATTGGTGATCCCATTGGAGTTCCTTTCAGTTGTTCGTAGATTTCTCGAAAAACGCGAAATAGAATTCAGTTCACCCGAGCTACGAGAACCGGATTTCAATACTTTGTCAACATTTCAGATACATGGCTGATACAGTCTGTGATTAACTGAGGACAAATGGTGGCGGTAGTGGCCCAGTGGTAACGTCACCAACTTACCATCCCAGAGGACGTGTGTTCGAACCCCACCACCACTGCCTATCGTCCCCCATTGTGTGTTGAATGACAACCCTTTGATTGGCTGCTTCCTCCTTCCTGAAAATTTTATCATTGTGCATTGAATAAATAGAAAGTAAAATTTAAAGAACAAGAAGTCGAAGAAAGAAAAAAGGATTAAAGCCACGAATTGTATGGAAATTGCCTATTTTATATGGGAAAACCGTCCCTATCCAGAGCGTTTATGAATGTATTTTGGGGAAGCTGACCATGTTGCAGGTTAAATAAGCCAGGTTATGAAGTTTTGTCCGCCAGCGCAATTCTTTATTGCTTATTGGTCAATAATAAACACTACGACAACGAATATGTCCAATCGAGTTTGGGGCTATCTGAACTTTTAAAATGCTCAGTTTTTAAAGACCTATGTATGCGTACAACTTATGGGATAACTTCCCTCATGCTTAAACTGTACTTATTTATAAACCGCGGACCTTATCAATATTTGTCTATCTATCTATCTATCTATCTATCTATCTATCTATCTATCTATCTATCTAATATATATATATATATATATATATCACAGGAGGGCTAAACCCATGAACAGTTTTGACGTTAGCAGCATGACTTCGATCGAGCGTTCCCAGCTTAGATTTATGTTCCAAAATCAACTCTCAGAATATGACGGAGCCCTTTCATATATTTGAATACTAAAGATCACCTAGTCCTTACGTAAGTTGGTTCAGTAATACCAGTCCATCGGGAATCCTTCAGATATGAAACCGTGATATTTCTGATTCTATAAGACTCAGCCTCTAGTCAGCACAACTTTGNTCACCGCCTCCACTTGTGACTGTTGCGTAGACTGTAACAGTTTCTGTAATCACCGCACAGTCACACCTTCATGCAGTAATGGTTCTAACTTCAACGTAACTCTCTTACCCGACATGAAACAACCCCTGTAGCCCTTGTTGGGTCTTTCTTATGAACAATTAATCAAACTACACGTTTGTTCTTCTCAAAACAGATTAATGTGGATAGGTCAAACGGGTAAGACTAGCCCCAAAATGCCCCGTAAATTAATTGCGCAGCTGTCAAATTTCAAAATGTAACTTCAAAACTCCCAGCATAACAAATTTTTATTTTCGCTCATCCACGAATACGCTTAATTCCGGTGAATTGACAATCGGATACATCGAATGCAATCAGTGACCTCTCATGGTCAACGCGCCGATTTTCCGGTCCAGGTTTCGATTTCCAAATTGATCGGCCCGCGGATCCATTTGACATTCACACCAAGTTGATTGGTTCTCGCTCACTCTACCCATT